CCCTCCACCCACCCTGCACTGACAGCCCAACCCCCCATATGATGCCTGCAGTGGGAGAGGCACGTGTCCACCCCAGCCTCCTTCTCAGGGCAGTGCCAGGCCTGGCCTGTGAAAAACCATGCCCCTCAGACATCCTCCTGCCAGCCTCAGGGCTTCTAGGGGCGAGAACGCCAGGTGCCCGTGTGGCAAGGGGCAGCCCTGCAGGGGGAAGGTATGCAGATGCGTATCCACCATGCTGCCTCCTGGGTGGTCAAGTCCAAGGCTGCCTGAAGTGGGAGGAGCTGAGTGTGCCTGTAAGCGGGTTGGGGTGTGGCTCCCATAGGTGACAGGGACCAGGCACCCAGGACTTCTGGCCCCATCTCTTGAGGGAGACGTCGGCCGTGGCGCTGGGACCCACAAGCAGCGTCCAGGGCTATGCGGTGTCTTTTCCCGTTGGTCTCTCCACTCCCCATGAGTCGAGCACTGTGAGTACCATTGACAAATGAAGAAACCTGAGTCCCAGCATGGCCGAGTCGCCAGCACCACCGTAAGCATCCTATTCGCATTGCCAAATGCCACTCTGTTTGCCCCTCCTGGGACTCCAGCCCAGGTTGGGGCTAGGACGTCTTTTGACAGATGGGAGTCAAGGCCCAGAGCGGAGACAGGACTCCTCTGCAGGTGCAAGGGCCCTGTGGCCCGAGAGAGAGAAGCAGGGTGTTGTCCCCAGGGCCCATGATAGACCCAGCCTAGCAAACCACAGGCATCACCAGGTCCCCCCTCCCTGCCTGGGCCTGGGCTGGCCCCGCAGCTGCCTCTGAGCCAGGCCCACCCGGCCCCACCCTGCCCCACCCAGAGTGGCAGGGCCAGCTGCCTCCAGAGACAAATGTCCTCCGGCCTCAAAGCCACACTCTGCTCCTCCCAGAGCTCCTCTCTTGCATTCCAGCCTGGTTCTTCCATGACAGACCCTGCTTTGGGGTTGGATCCCACACCGTGCATTCAAACCCCACAGAGGGGTATGCCCAGGCCCACTTGACAGAGGAGGGCCAACACACCCAGACTCCGGAGCCTGAGCCCTGGCCCATCAGGCCTCCAGCCACCCCCACCCGCAAATCCAGCTGGGCGGGGTCTGCCCCTGCATCAGAGGCTGGAGGGAGATGTCCGCGGCCCAGAGGACAGGTGCCAAGCGCTGCTGTGATTCAGAAAACTCTTACTGGGCAGGGCACAGTGGCTCAGCCTAGAATCCCAGCACTTTGGGAGGCCAAGACGAGAGAATTGCCTAAGCCCAGGGATTCTGGGCAACTTGGTGAAACCTCGTCTCTACAGTAAATCACAAAAACTAGCCAGGCGTGGTGGCATGCATCCTTAGTTCCAGCTACTTGGAAGGCTGAGGCGGAAAGGATTGCCTAAGCCCAGCAGGTTGAGGCTGTGGTGGCCGTGAGCATACCACTGCACTCCAGCCTAGACAACAAAGAGTGAGACTCCAACTCAAAAAAAAAAAAAAAAAAAAAGCTCTTACTACTTACAACTGCATGAGGTCTGAAGCTAACACCCAGGAGGTGTTAATAGAGATATAACGTCTAGAACAAGGGAGGAAATGGTCCTATATTCTCTGTTCTACTCAGACAGACCACCTCCTTAGGGCCAGCGTGGTGGCTCACACCTGTAATCTCAGCCCTTTGGGTGGCCAAGGCGAGAGAACTGCTTGAGCCCAGCCGTTCGAGACAAGCCTGGGCAACATAGTAAGACTTTGTCTCTGTCAAAAAAAAAAAAAAAGAACATCGCCTTGAGCAAGTGGTGCTAAACAGAGCTAACAGAGAGCCCTCCCTGCCCCGGTCTTGAGGGTGGGCCACCTCTCCCTCAGACTGCTCAGAACCCCGCCTCCTTGTTCCTACATACACGCAGCAGACACGAGGCTGGGAGCTGGCATGAGACAGGGGTCACTCCTGCTCCTGATGAGGGCTCCTGATGACAGACATGATTCAGAATCCCACGGTGGGTCAGTCTTCATCATACAGGGTGATCGGTGTTACAAAGGAGACATGCAGAGGCAACAGGTGATGGGGAGCGCCGTTCCCCTAGGTGGATGGGCTTCTGAAGCTGGCAGGCTGCGTCTGTCTTCCTACATACAGTTAAGGGGACACCCTTGGAGACCCCTGACCAAGGAAAGGCCCAGCTACTGACATGAGCAGATGGCCCTTGTTCTCTGGTTCACCTCTTCCCGAAATCTCCTCAGCATCTCTCCTATGGGACTCTACCTCCTGGCCAGCTTCCACACCAAGTAAGATGCCTCTCACTTCCTCATCGGCACAGCCTCACCGCTCAGCGTACTGCTGCCTACGTCGTGGCCGCAGTTCCGTGGGGTTCGTGACTTTGGCATCAACAAACACTGAGGGATGGGGCTGACTGGGGACAGATCCACAGGCATGGGGAAGGCATTGGAAAAGGACTATAGGGGGCCAGGTGAGGTGGCTTAAGCCTGTAATCCCAGCACTTTGGAAGTTCAAGGTGAGAGGATTGCCTGAGCCCAAGGATTCAAGACCAGCCTGGGCAACGTGGTGAGACCTCGTCTCTACAAGAAATAAAAAATTAGCCGGGTGTGGTAGCACGCACCTGTAGTTCAGCTACCTGGAAGGCTGAGGTGGAAGGATTGCTGGATCCCAGCAGGTTGACGCTGGGGTGGACATGAGCATGCCACTGCACTCCAACCAGAGCGACAGAGTGAGACTCCTACTCAAAAAAAAAGAAAAGAAAAAAGGGTTGTAACATCCTTCTCATCTTCTCCATACTGTCTTCCATATCTTGAAATGCCTGAGAACTATACAACTTTTTCCAAACTCTCAGGAAGAGAGAGATTGGAAAATGGCCCAGTCCTGCTAGGGCCAAATTGCTTTGTTTTTGTTTTGTTTGAGTTGGTGTCTCACTCTGTCGCCCAGACTGGAGTGCAGTGGCACGCTCCTGGCCACCGCAGCCTCGACCTGTTGGGCTCAGGCAATCCACTCACCTCGGCCTCCCAAAGCGCTGGGATGACAGGCTGAGCCGCCGAGCCTGGCCCAAGTTGCTCTGAATCAGGAGGGGCCAATGGTGTAAGGGCCAAATCACTCACCCCCATACAGGAAGCCATGTTTGGGCAGCTTGTTTGGTGATTATATTTTTTCATATTTTCCACCCCTACCACCTTCTTGCTCTGTTTCACTGTGTATTTTCCTTATAATAAAGATATATATATTTTTTGTTTTTGTTTTCTTGAGTTGGAGTCTCATTCCGTCACCCAGGCTGGAGTGCAGTGGCACACTCACGGCCACCCCAGCATCGACCTGCTGGGCTCAGGTGATCCTTCCACCTCAGCCTTGCAAGTAACCAGAACTACAGGCACACACTGCATGCTTGGCTAATTTTTTATTTATTGTAGAGATGAGGTCTTACCAAGTTGCCCAGGCTGGTCTCAAACCCGTGAGCTCAGGCAATCCACTCGCCTCGACCTCCCAAAGTGCTGGGATTACAGGTTGAGCCACCACACCCAGCCCTTTTTTATTTTTCTTAAGTTGGCGTCTCACTCTGTCACCCAGGCTGGAGTGCAGTGGCATGCTCACAGCTCTCTGCAGCCTCACCCTCCTGGGCTTGGGCAGTCCTCCCACTTCAGCCTCCCAAGGAGCTGGAACTACAGGCATAATGCCATCACACCAGCCTGAGCAACATGGTGAGAACTCCTCTCTACAAAAAGCCAAAAAATCAGCCAGGTGTGGTGGCTCCCGCCTAATAGTCCCAGCTACCAGAATGAGACCTCAACTAAAAAGAAAAAAAAAGTGCAGGATCCAAAACTCAACACAGTTCTCTGAGTGAGTTTGACCAGAGCAGAGAGCAGCAGGACTTGTTCTCGACGCTGTATCTCTATTTAGCCCGCCTAGGGTGCGGCTTGACTTTAAGCCGTGTACAATTGCAAGTAGTGAGAACTCTCTAAATCGACCCCAACTCGCTGGACTCCCCAGATCACCAGAACCCCTGCTTCCTTGGTAGCGTCCCTGACGCCTCCAGACATGGGTCTCTTTCCAGCACGCCCACTCGCTCCCGCTGAGCTGGGCTTACCAAGAGTCGCTTGTGCTGGTTCCCAAACTTGTTTATGCCAGTTGAACTTGTCAAAATAATTATGTCATGTAATTAAATATGACTTCGAATGATGAAATGTGAATGCAAAAAGAGAGAGAGTTGTTGTTTTGGGGAAGAAATTAGTTGACTGCTTTAAAAATACTCCAAGTAAGCATCTTGCTTTAAAAATTGCTGTTAACGTAGGAGTCAGGGAGACAGCGGTAGGAATGTGGGACGGAGAGGGGTGAGACCAGGATGCTGCATTTAGCAGCTACTGGGGGTCTCCAAGATCTTCCTCTAATTCAAAGAAATAGACACTGTGACCTGCAGGCTAGCAGCTCTCAAGGTGTGTCCTGACAACGGCTGCTGCACCCTGAAAATCTGCCCCAACCCTACAGCGAGCATGCACTTGGATCCCATCAGCACAGCCATGTTGTTTTTGTTTTTGCTTTTTTTTTTGTTTTTGTTTTGAGTCAGGGTCTCACTTTGTTGCCCAGGCTGGAGTGTAGTGGCACGATCACAGCTCACCGCCGTCTCAGCCTCCTGGTCTCAGGAGATCCTCTCGCCTCAGCCTCCAAGTAGCTGGGACTACAGGCCCAAGCTGCCATACCCGGATAATTTTTTTTGCATCTTTTTGTAGAAACAGGGTCTCACTTCGTTTCCCAGGCTGGGCTTGAACTCTTGGCTTCAAGCAAGACTCCTGCCTCGACCTCCAAAAGTGTGGGGATTACAGGCGTGAGTCACGCACCCAGCAGGCACAGCCATTGTTGATGCACATCTTCAACCTCGACTCAGACCCACTGAGTCACAGATTTGGGGGTAGGGCTCAGAAGCCTGGGGCTTAAACCCCCCTCAGGTGTTCCGATGCCTACTGAGTCTAAGAACACTGATGTGGTGTAAACCCATCCTCAGGGGGGCATTCGGTTCAAGAAAAAGCCCCATAGCCCCCTGAAGGGAAAACTCGACCCCAGAGAAAAGGCAGGCTGGGCACAGTGGCTCACGCCGGTAATCCCAGCACTTTGGGAGGCCGAGGCGGGAGGATCGCTTGAGCCCAGGAGTTTGAGACCATCCTAGGCAACAAAGCAAGACCCCCATCTCTGCGAAAAATAAAGCAATTAGTCAGACACAGTGGTGCACCCTTGGAATCTCAGTCGCTCGGGAGGCTGAGGTGGGAGGATCGTGTGAGCCCGAGAGTTCAGGGCTGCAGTGAGCTGTGATCACGCCACCACACTCCAACCTGGGCAACAGAGTGAGATTCTGCCTTTAAAACAAACAAAAAGATGGGTGAATGAACACACAGTTGCATGCTTTCAGCAAACCAGAGGCTGGAGGGCCACGTAGATCCTGACTTAGGGACCCCACCTGGCAGGCTTCATTTGAGGGACCCCCGCCCAGCCTGAGTCCAGTCATGCCACAGCTGGCAAGCAGCTTCTGCTGAAGTGACATCCACTGAGCCCTTGACACACCCGGGTCCTTCACACCTCACGTACACATGCCATCTCGTCCCCACAAGGCCCATAGGGGAGTGCTCCACAATGACCCAGGTTTCCCATGGAGAGACTGAGAAACAGAGCCACGAAGTGGCTTGCCCAAGGTCTCACAGTTAGCGACTGGCCCAGCTCTCTGGGGCCATGGCACAGAGACCCGCCCTGTCCACTCCCCCGGTGACCACCTGTGGTTTTTCTGACAGCTCTACCATGCCTGCAACGGGCCCGGTCTGTCCGTGCTCTGCTTCACGCGTCACGACATCCTGGAGTACTTCAGTGTCTACGGGACGGCGCTAAGCATGTGGGTCTCCCTAATGGGTGAGTTCTCATCCGCTCACCCCACCCACCCCTTGAACCAGCCCAGCCCCCACCCCCATCTCTGGGAACTCTTTCCCCTCTCTGGGTTCCAGAGCCCTGCAAATCCATGAAAAAGTGGCTGGCCACAGTAGCTCACACCTGTAATCCCAACACTTTGGGAGGCTGAGGCGAGAGGATCACTTGAGGCCAGGAGTTCGAGACCAGCCTGGGCAACCTAGTGAGACCTCATCTCTAATTTTTAAAAAATCTATGAAAAAGAAGATACAAGCTGGGCTTGGTGGCTCAGCCTGCAATCTCGCGCCTTTGGGAGGATGAAGTGAGTGGATTGCCTGAGCCTGTGGGTTCGAGACCCGCCTGGGCAACTTGACGAGACCTCATCTCTACAATAAATCAAAATGAGCCGGGCGTGGTAGCGCGCACCTGTAGTTCCAGCTACTTGGAAGGCTGAGGCGGAAGGATCGCCAGAGCCCAGCAGGACGAGGCTGCAGTGGCCGGAAGCGGCTACTGCACTCCAGTCTGGGTGACAGAGTGAGACTCCAACTCAAAAAAAAAAGAAAAAGAAAAAGAAGATACAGCTCTTAAACAACTAATTCCCATTTTTTAGATCCTTTTTAAATGATTCATTTATTTTATTATTTAATAAAAACTTGTTGCGAGAAATTCACTTAATTATTGATTTATTTTCTATTCAGGGTCTCCCTGTGTTGCCCAGGCTGGAGTGCAGTGGCATGATCACAGCTCAGTGAAACCTCCTGGGCTCAGGCAATCCTCCCATTTCAGCCTCCTGACTAGCTGGGACTACAGGCACCTGCCACCAGGCTCAGCTAATTTTTTACTTTTTAAGAGACGAGATTTCACTATGTTGCCCAGGATAGCCTTGAACTCCTGGGTTCACGGGATTCTCCCATCAGCCTCCCAAAGCGCTGGAATTTCAAGCATGAGCCACTGTGCCCAGCCTGTTGTGACAAATTTCAACAGCAGAGTCAAACAAAAGAAAAAGTGCCCCTTCCCCTCTCTCCTTCCTGGGAAGATCATTGTTCACCATTCAGGGTTTTGGCCTCCTGGACTTTGAGGCAAACATCACACATATAGGTCATTTTCAGCCCGGAAGACAGAACCATTTGAAAGCCAACTGTTCTGCAACTTTTTTTTTTTTTTTGGGATTGGAGTCTCACTCCGTCTCCCAGACTGGAGTGCAGTGGCCGCTCCCGGCCACTGCAGCCTCGACCTGCTGGGCTCCCGCGATCCTTCCGCCTCAGCTTTCCAAGTAGCTGGAACTACAGGTGAGCGCTACCTTGCCTGGCTCATTTTTGATTTATTGTAGAGATGAGGTCTCACCAAGTTGCCCAGGAGGGTCTCGAACCCACGGGCTCAGGCAATCCACTCACTTCAGCCTCCCAAAGGCACGGGATTACAGGCTGAGCCACCGAGCCTGGCTGCAACTTTATTTTTTTTTACTTACTGTCATCTTATGGTGAAGTTACAACACAGGTCTCCATGACTGGGGCTCCCTGCTGTGTAACCAGGCCCCATTAAGAACCCAGATCGGCCCTCCAATCTTAGTGTCCATCTCCTGAGGCCCTAGGGGATAGATTCCTTCCTATTCACTGCATGTTGTTCTGTTTCCTAAATCAGGTTACTATCACCACAGCCCAAGCTCTGTTTTTGGAAAAGCAGCAGCCTGCCTGTCCTTTATTTATTTATTTTTCATTTTTTGTGTTGGAGTCTCCTCCATTGCCCCAACTGGAGTGCAGTGGCACGCTCCCAGCCACCGCAGCCTTGACCTGCTGAGCTCCAGCGATCCTTCCGCCTCAGCCTTCCAAGTATAGCCAGAACTACAGGCATGTGCTACCATGCCCGGCTAATTTTTGATTTATCGTAGAGATGAGGTCTCACCAAGTTGTCCGGGTGGGTCTCGAACCCATGGGCTTGGGCAGTTCACTTACCTCAGCCTCCCAAAGCACTGGGATTACAGGCTGAGCCACCGAGCCCGGCCTGCCTGTCCTTAAAAACTGGCTGGATGGCCAGGTGCGGTGCTCAAGTCTGTAATCCCAGTACTTTGGGAGGCAGGAGGATCACTTGAGTCCAGGAGTTCAAGACCAGCCTGAGTAACATAATGAGACTTCACCTCTACCAAGAAAATCAAAACAATTAGCTGGGCATGGTGGCGTGCGCCTGTGATTCCAGCTACTAGGGAGGCTGAGGTAGAAGGATCGCCTGAGCCCAGGAGATCGGAGCTGCATTGAGCCGTGATGGTGCCACTGCACTGCAGCCTGGGCAGTCAGAGTGAGACCCCGACAAAAAATAAATAAAGAAGTATTAAGTTTGCATCTTTTATGAGCAAAAGAAAAAAGGAAAGATGGAAGGAAGGAAAAAAAGAATGGAGGGAGGGAGGGAGGAAGGAAAGAAGGAAGGAAGAGAGAAAACTGGCTGGAATTCAGACCTCTCAGCCACCAGGCTGGGCCTTGGGACACCATTCAAGGGCACCAGAGTTGCCTCCTATGTGGGGGAGGAGCGAGGGAGGCCATTCACCACCCCCACCCCCCACCCGCATTTCTTCCTTTCCCCACCAGCACTGGCCGACTTCGATGAGCCCAAGAGGTCGACGTTTGTGATGTTTGGCGTCCTGACCATCGCGGTGCGGGTCTACCACGACCACTGGGGCTACGGCGTGTATTCGGGCCCCATCGGCACGGCCGTCCTCATCATCGCTGTCAAGTGGGTACGTACCGCACCAGCCTCCACAGATGGGGACCCCAGAGGTCCCCACAGCCCCTCCCCTGTGGACTCCCCGGAATTGGAGGAAGTGGAAATTTAGCTGAAACACGTAGAACGAGCCACGCAGCCTCCGTATGACTCTTGTCTGAACGGAACCCAGGTTACCTAACCTGTCAGCCCTGTGGCCATACCAGGGAAGCAGCCATTATCATAAAAGCCCAGTGTCCAGCTCAGAGGCTGGTTCGAAGGTTCACTGAGATGATGCCCAGAAACCGCTGGCAGAGAATCTGGCTTCTGATGCATTCAGCAAATAGGAGTTCTTCCTTATCATTATTATTATTGTTATCATCATTTTTGTTGTTATTATTAATGAGGAGAATGGCTGTTTTATCAACTTGGAAAATGGCCTGGGCTAGTCTGGGAAGACGTCCTGGAGGGAGCAATCCTTGAGCTTAGTTCTAGCAAGGAGGGAGGGTTTGGTGTACAGCCCCGGTCCGGGTTCCCAGCACCGACGGCCCCCAACTGGACATCAGTGTCCACGAGACCCTCACATTCAGTGCCCCGTGCTCCCTGCACCGTCTGTCCTACCACGCCCTCCCGGTTCAAGGACCGAAACGCACTCAAGCTAAAGCAGGTCATGAGAGCAGGATAGACCCAGGGGCGTGCACCCCAGAGCCCGTGGGAGCTAGGCCTTCCGAGAGCCAGAACTCAGGCCTGGGGGATGGGCAGACTGCAGCAACCCATCCCCAGTGAACATCTTCTGCTGTGTTTTTACCCCTTTGGAGTGAGTGCCACCTGGAATCGTCCCCGCTGTGAGTGCTGGAAGGAGACCTGCCAAGGCCACAGTGCTATTCAGGACGTGAGCCAGGCCCAGGGCGTCAGTGCTGCAGGGTGTGAACAGGCTGTGGAGGGAAGTTCTCAGAAAGAGGGGTCCACCAGCACCGGTGGTGCCGAAGGGGCCGCCAACCCATTTTATGACTGTGGGGAGGGAAAATAAAGTTCTGGTGGCAAGTCTTCAAAATCCATCTCTGGCCGGGCGTGGCGACTCACGCCTGTAATCCTAGCACTTTGAGAGGCTGAAGCGGGAGAATCACTTGAGCCCAGGAATCTGAGACCAGTCTGGGCAACTCGGTGAGACCTCGTCTCTACAGAGAATAAAAATAAATAAATATTGGTTAAGGAAGAAACGGAGGGACAGAAAGATCTTCAGGGCAGGGGACTGTGGCAAGGCAGGGTGAGGCCAGGAACTCCTGGGTTCAAGCAATCTTCCCACCTCAGCCTCCCTAGTAGCTGGGACTACAGGTGCACACTATCACACCCAGCTAATGTTTTGTAGCAACGAGGTCTCGCTATGTTGCCCAAGCTGGTCTTGAACTCCTGGACTCAAGCGCTCCTCCTGCTTTGGCCTCCCAAACTGCTGGGATTACAGGCATGAGCCACCGCACCCGGCCAGCAGTTGGCTTTTTGAGCAGGAGACAGAGAGGAAGGAGACTTTTCCTCACTGTGTCTTGAGGGAGTAGGGCTAACAAGGGCTGACCCGGGAGGTCCCTGGAAGCAGCCCTGCGAGAGGAGAGAGAGGGTGTGTCGGGGTGTGAGTCCCTGGACAAGAAAGGACCCCGGAATGAACATGCTGGATTCACACACACCAGGAGCTCTGGATCATGATCGTCCACCCCACCTCAACCATGGGTGCCCAGGACTGAATCTGGGCTGAAGGTTACTTAGGCAGAAGAGAATTCAGTGGTTAGTGTCCCCACGAAGAGCCCTGAGATCGCCAAGGCCCGCGGGCTACGAACCTGGCCACAGGAACCCCAAATGGACCGCCTACCTCCCACATCTGGGGCTCAGACTGTGTTTTCTGGACCATCGAGTGTGGCGTTTATTTTGGATGTTCAAGGGCAGTTGTCTTCTGGAATGAGGGTGGATTTGCCCCCGAGAGACGCAGTCCTTCTTGGGAGGAGTTTGGGGGAAAGGAGGGTTGGGTGACCCGGCCCTCAGGGCTGCGCTGGGCCGTGGTATGACCTGGGGCGGGCACTTCCCATCCCGGGTCCCTAGGCTGCCACTGCAGGATTGACCACATGAGGGCTTTCGGCCTCAGTCACCCACACCCAAGGGCACACACGCTACCTGCACTATTTTTCATTTTTTAAAATTTTGTGTGTGTGTCAGAGCCTCACTCTGTCACCCAGGCTGAAGTGCCACTGGGCTCAGGCAATCCTCCCGTTTTTTGTAGAGACGAGGTCTCACCAAGTTGCTCAGGCTGGTCTCGAACCTCTGGGCCCAGGAAATCCCCTCATCTCTGCCTCCCAAAGCACCAGGATGACAGGTGTGAGCCACTGTGCCCAGCTACGCTACCTGTACTATTAGAATGTCTTGGTTCCTTGCTGGCCATGGCACACTCCTGAAAACTGGAAACTGGGTATCATTTCATAATTCACTGGGTAGCAAAAACCTGCCCTGGCCCAGGCCATATGTGGTATTTGGGTGCTCTACTCAGCGGTGTGTACAGCTGGGGGGTACTGCCCCCACCCCAGGAGTGCAACAATCTGTCCCACTGAAATCCAAAACATCTGGTGTTCTGAAACACCTCCGGCCCCAAGGGCCCAAGGTGACATGCATTCTCTTCATCTGTTTTTGCATGTGTGAGAACCCACTTTTTTAAGCTTAAACACCCATGTGAGCCTTCCCCTACCCATCAGTGTCTGGGAAATCAGTATCTGAGAATCTGTGCTGTTTATCCAGTAGGTATTAAGACAGGTTTGTTTTATTTATTTCTTTCTTTCCTTCTTTCCTTCTTTCTTTCTTTCTTTCTTTCTTTCTTTCTTTCTTTTCTTTCTTTCTTCTTTCTTTCCTTCCTTCCTTCCTTCCTTCCTTCCTTCCTTCCTTCCTTCCTTCCTTCCTTCCTTCCTTCCTTTCTTTGTCAGGGTCTCACTCTGTCACCCAGGCTGGTGAGCAGTAGCACAATCACAGTTCACCACAGCCTCGATCCCCTGGGCTCAAGCGATCCTCCCACCTCAACTTCCCAAGTAGCTGGGACTACAGGCATGCACCACCATGCCTGGCTCGTTTTTTCAAATCATTTGTAGAGATGAGGTCTTGCTGTGTTGCCCAAGCTAGTCTCAAACTCCTGGGCTCAAACAATCCTCCTGCCTCGACCTCCCAGAGTGCAGGAATTATTTGCGTGAGCCACTATGCCTGGCTAGGTTCTTTAGCTAGGAGGGCAAATGATGTTTGTCTGTGACTCACAGATCACCACAGTTGCCAACCCTGTGGGCTGCACTGCACTAGCAGGTACCAAGCACGCCAGTACCCTTTGGCAGGAAGTAATCATCATGTCTAGTCCTATGGGGGCTCCTTTCTGGCTGGAAGATGGAAACACGGAAGGGGTGGCCTTGTGGTATCTTAAAGAGGCAGAGGGGACCGAGGGTCCTCCTGGCACAATTTGGCCCCAGAGGCACCCAGCCGGTCGTCTGGGGTGGGATCTCCACTGGGTCCAGCATGCCAGGACCGCGCTCTGACCCCCTCTCCCGCCAGAAGATGGCTAGGGCCTGTGTGCAGGGCCAGCTCTCTGGCTGGCCTGGGGAGGGGCCTGTCCCCAGTGCTGTGACCTGAAAGCTTTGCTGTTGTCTTTGTCCCCGCAGCTGCAGAAGATGAAGGAGAAGAAAGGCCTGTACCCCGATAAGAGCGTCTACACCCAGCAGATAGGCCCCGGCCTCTGCTTCGGGGCGCTGGCTCTGATGCTGCGCTTTTTCTTTGAGGTACCGAGCTGTGGGGAAGCGCCAAGCGTGGCCCTACTCAGGCCGCACACCCCTGCTTGCTGGCCACCGCCAGGGCGGGCGTCGGGCACTGTCCTCCCCAGCACCACCAGCCTCAGCCTGTGTAGACTTGGGGGGGGTCACAGAGACCAGAGCTGGCCGTCCTTCTGACGGCTGGCATCTGAGATCACCACAGCCTGGGAAGGGCCAGGGAGGGAGGAAAGAAAGAGGGAA